CAATGTAGATCTGTCGACTGATCGTGGTTCAAGTTTGTTCTAATCTAACTTTGTCCGCTTCTGCCGCACAGTTTGCAACATGGACGCTGATGGCAAAGCTGATCATGGGAAGACAATTCAAGAGCTTCACTCAGTCGCTGTATTCAAACGACTGCAGCTTGCTTCTGCCATTGCTGGGAAGTTTTCGGAGCGTGGTGTGGAACCACCCCTTGACTTGTTTGAGTACACCCAACCACATTTTTTCCAAGCGCGCCTGGGAGAGTGTGGCCATGCGTGCTCGAACATTGCTCCGTGAGGCTGAGGGAGCTTCCAGGGATTCAGATGTTGATGTGTTGAAAACACAGAACAGTGAACCCACCAAGAGTCCAATTTTCGGTCAGCCCAATGAATTTCAAATTGCAAGTACCTAGTGATGGTGTCTGCGTTGGAGATGAACTGTGTCCAGTAGAGTCATAGTAGCGGTTTCTTTGGGTAATTGACCCTCGAAATTCATTCAGTGAGCCTTGGCATTCTGTCCTTTTTGGGGCTACTGGATGTTTCTTGCCGGGCAGTGCCTATGCCTATAGAGGTCGACTTGGACCGCAGGCAGGCAACGCCTAATTCATATCGTTACAAGTTCATTCCGTCAGGCTTGAATTTAATTAGATACTTGCTTTGAAGAGGAAAGGAAAATAAGAAGCCGAGTGAGTGTGAAGTGCACACTGTTACAATATCAATCAATGAGCCTGGGCCTCATTTGATTGTGATTCAAAGTTGTGAGTACCTTAGTCATTTGTCCGGTGCCACTGCAGATGGGGTAGTGCTGCTGTCTTCTTTTTTTGGGTGACTCTAGCAACACAAGATAGACATAATATGTGAGTGGCTTGATCCAAGCTCTTCTAGACTTACGACCATTGTCAAGTGTCAATGCCACAGTTTTGCGACCCGCCATTGGCTATATTGTCAAGCTTTGAGGTAGTAGTATTGTTGGAGAGTCAATAACAGGAGTCAAGATCATTCTGTTACATGGCATGTGCTAACTAACTTACTTATTCGACAGGGTCAGACTGGCAGCCAGACCATTAACCTGAATTCTGAATTGAACAGCTGCTTTGACTCGACAAACATTGTTTTCAAACACAGCAGCTAGCTGTTTTCCGGTCTTTGCTAGATCAATGCTCTTGCTGGATCAATGTCAGCAGCTATCTTTGACGGAAGATAGTGGATTGCTGTCCAAAGCTGCCTTTCGAGTGGAGGGACATGGGGAGCCAGCTCAGCTTTGGTGGTGCCTCAGTTTTTTACACGAGAAGCTAGTGGGCAAAGGAGAAAAGAGAAAATACTTCAGATGGGTAACGTTTTTCAGAGACTCTGTGAAACAAACCCGGCTCTTGTCAGGGGATGTGCAGGATTGGCTTCACATGAAAAGTGCAGACCTCCCACACAATGCCCTTCCACATCATGTTGCCAAGTCCAGCGCTGTGCTTTCTTTCCTGGCCTTTGTTTTGCGAGACGCTAGATCCCAGTCCATTATTAGTTTCTGCAGGGATTGGATTCCAACAATTTGTGGCCGGGCGATGAGTCACATGCGTGGGCCTTGTGAAATGGTACTATCGGATGACCTTCCACCTCTTCGTGTTCTTCCTGGGGGCTTGGTTGAAGGTCTGGCTTCTGCCATTTCAGGCAGACATGCCATGGTATGGCAGACATGGCAAAGTGAATGGATGGCAATGTTTGAACAAGGTGAGTTGTCTTCGCAGCCAAATGACTCGGGTGTTCTGCTGACTGACCTGGTGAGATTTTGCTTTGAAATTGATAGGAAGAGACGATCCAAAGACAAACATGTATGGCCGCGTGACAGTCAGACAGGTATGACACTTCACTGTGTTCTCACTGCATTGGTTGCATTCTTGGCTCACCGCTTGGACTCCTTTGTTCTCGACCATTTCATGTCTGAGCATGACTGTTCAGCATCTGTGCCATCGAGACGTCGTTCCAATGGAGGTCAGGTTGCCAAGCGGGTCCAAATGACAGCGGATACAATTTTTGAGTTGATCGACAAGTCCAAGGATGCAGGTCTATCTGTCAGAGAAGGTGTAAATTTTCTGAAAAACACTGAGAGGTTGTCAATTGTCGCCGGTGCCCATCCCAATGCCACTGACGCTTGGATGCGGCGTCACCAGCAGATTTACGATAACCGAGCGGTGGTTGCATTTGCAGGGGCGACACACATATGTTTGGTCGCAGATGGGAGCAGGCATGCCAACAAGGAGGTGTTGGTGACAGTGGCCTGGAGTTGGGAAAACAGTACTGCAGCGATATGCCCTGTGCAGGTCATTATGCCACTGGATCAAATTGCCCCTGGAGAAATGGACCTTACCCATTTGATTGAACAGCTCGCCCAGGACTGACTGCCAGTCATTGAATGTCATAACATTCTTGAAGCTTAAGAAATTTGAAAGACTAAATTACACGAGCAATTGTTGAGTGTGAAACCTGTCATCAGATGTGAATGCTTTGCATCGTCGTCTAGCTGGTCTTGAAAGTTCTTGATGAACCTCGCTATCTAGTCTTGTCTAGCTCTGCGCAGCGCTGCGCCATTTGAACCTGCAGGAAAGCAAAGTGGAGCGTGTGGCATCTTTGCGGCTCTTGCAGGCAGTGAGCCACCAGGTTCATTTGATTACAGCAGGCCGCCTTCCAAATTTGGACGCTTTCTCTGTTCCAGAGGACATGTGCGTTTCCATGGTCAAGCCAGGGTTCCAACGTGTGATCCGCAGAGAGGGTCTGAGAAACCGAGCATTTCACAGATGTCGTACATCTGACGAAGAAGTTGCTGTGATGCCTGCGAACAGAGATTGGTGGAAACAACTGCCCTTGTTAGTTTTGCAATTTGACCAAGGGCCAACATGCACTTCTGCTGCTGCGTGCCTACTTTTAATTTAGATATATTTTATTGTGTCCATTCAATGTGTGGGATCGACTTTCTGGAGTTTTTTCAATAGTCTCGTGGGGTCTGAGAAGTTTTGACTTGGAGTTCGTGCAGGTTTTTGCTTTGGTGAGCTTTAATCCTTGATTTCTTCCTCTTGGGTTTTCCATTGCCCCCCTTCCCAGGTATGCAATTCATCATCTTGGTAAGCTGGTGTCAGTACGCTGGGATGTGTACCACAGAAGCATTCGCGATGTCAAACTATCTTTGCTGCACAGCTGCAACGGTCGGTTTCTCCAGGCACAGATGTACTCCCAATACCTTTGGGCTCTCAGCTATCGTCCTTATAATTCTTCTGGCTTCCATGAAGACAAAATTCGTATTCTGGAGGTGATGCTTGCTCGGGAGAACCCAGAGACTTTCCCGCTTTTCCATGATATGTGGGAAACCATCAGGGATGACCTCCAAATGCCTGCATCTTCAACGATGCACGACGTGTGGCGCAAACTTCCCACAACACCAATCTTTGGAGCCAAGATGTCCATGCCGAAACCCGGCAGGTGGTTCAGCTGGAATCAATGTTGTGAGGAGCAGTTGAGTTCCTGGCACGTCTTGAAGTTGGCGCTGCAATACCACTTCCCAGACAATCAGGATGTGGATCCTGATTTAGCTGCCAAGAAGCGTGAGCTTGATGCCATTGCGCGAATGGCTGATACGGATGAGAAAGTGAATGCTCGGAAGCAGTTCAGCCTTCTCAAAGAGAAGTTGGGAGGAGGCCTCAAGCTAGTGTATTATTTGATGTCAACTCGTCTCCTTCAGCAAGTCCTCATTCTCAGCATGGTGACTCGGCCCACATGGTCCTGGTACGCGTCTTCAGTCAAAAAAATCAAGAACTCCGATGACCATGTTGCTCAACTTTTGATTTT